TTTATCTCACAGCCATATTCAAATCACCGATAAATAATTTGCAGGCTGTCATTTGTCACGACCTACGCAAACTTCTTTAGGTTATTGTAAATTAGAAAGAAAATTCTTAAAAGCTTTGTAAACTATTTAATTCTATGTTTACAAAATCATTTTACAATAACATAAAAGATAAATAAAATATAAAAGATATATTTGAATCGGATACAATAAGTTACATCATAATATATCTTGTCCATCTTTCATGACCTTCAAAACTCGAATGCATCAAACTTATTTGTCTTAAGCGTATATGTACTGAATGAAAGAACAAACGATGGGAACCAAGTACATAAATAAGTCTTAACGTATTACATGGACACGCACACTAATGTAAACGTAAGCCAAAAAATAATAATTTAAAACACGAATGTCTACAAGCAAAAGTGGTTCCAATCGCAAGCGCAAAAGTTACAAATTAGCATGCGCGCCACTCGCCGCGGTTTCGGCAATGACAATGACAACGACCGATGATATAACAGAAGGCTGTCAAACCCGTGAAAACTCGGTCATTGAACCGCGCGCTCGCGACTCAGCCCCACTTCTTAATGCTTTCGCTCATGCGATTTTTATATCTACGCCACTGAGTATAAAGTCAATAATGATTTGACAATGGTTTGAAAATATATACAGTTAAGATTTAGACTGAAAATTGTGACGGAAGCGTATGTAAATGTTTTCTTCGTGAACTTAAAGGATTTCCACCCAATTACATAAGCAATGAAGATTTGTTATCTAAAAAATCTAGAACGATTTGACATTTAAAAAATCCTGACTTGCTGTTCTAAATATGAAAATGTTATTTGTGGATTTGACGAATTTTTTTTAGGGAAAATGATACCACAACCCGTAACTGGGATGCATAAAGGAAGAATTCCATTCCGATCCTAAGCAGAGGAACAGGACACGCGGCAGACACCAAACTGGATTCTTTTCATATAATTTAGTGTTGACACGGGCCAGGCAGGAAGGTCCTTGATGGGTAGAAAGTAAATGTTGAGTGCAGGCGCATGCGCGTGGCGGGCGATGCAAGCGCGGGTAAGGGGGGGAGGGCGCTGTAATGCGTGGAACCTGTTCGAACAACGGTACCTTCGTATCGTGCCCCGGGCGCACACGCACCCATTATGTAATAACGTAATAACCTTTTTCTCGCTCGACTGACTCGTCCCTTCAACATATGACCTTAACTTTCAATGACGATTTGTTTGTTTTTATTAATGACAGGGCACTGATTCTGTACACACATACCACGATATCGTTTACAGTGCTTAGCTACATACTTACCGACATGTTAATACTTTACTTTTTGTTGAAAAGCTACAACCCGGAAAAACATTGTAGTAATATCGGACAAAACAATATCAATCAAATGGACTACGTCGTAACTCTCCAGCCATAAAATGTACTAAACGCTTGAAATAATAGAATAGATGATTCACTTATTCTTAGCATCAAAGTAAGCTAATAAAAACGAACAGCTTTAACTACCGAGAAAGAGATATCCACTTACAAATGTACATGCAAAGCAGGCGAGCCTTGCATTTAAACTGCTGCAATGCGAAGTAACGCGAGTGTTCCCAGCCGCGTAACGTAATAAACTATTTATTATTCTGTATAAGTTATGAAAGTAAAGTTGGAGGAAGTGCAGTAGCACGTGTTTATAAAAATATCGATGACAATGTGTCCCACATGCATAGGAGTAGCTATAATATCTATGCCACCAGCCTTCCGGTGGACAGCCAGGCAACGGTTACCGCACCATAATTTCTAACAAATAGACTTACACAGTACCTACTAGCTTTATAGCTATTATTCATACCTTTAGTCACTTTAAACTTTTTGAAAGATATTCTGAATTATAATAGATATTAATTAGAATAGATAGTAAGACATATTATAATTTTCAACGCACAAACATCAGAATCATCCGAATATCCAGCAGTATTTTAAGCAATATCTGCATAAATGATTAGACGGCAAAAAGGACAACAACTGGAAATCTGATCTATTGTCTTGCATCTGTATCATAGAATGACTGTAATAAAACATGACAGTTGGAAAACCGCACAAAATATCCTTTTCACCATTAAGTAACATAACAGAGAGCAATTAGTAAACGTAATTTCGTTAAGTAAATCAAATAACTCAGTAACATTTGCACAAAGAGATTGTAATCTTTTCACATCATGGGAATTACACCTGCATACGACGTGCATCCCGCCGAGCTTTGATTTCACCCTCACTATTCTTTATTTTTTATCGACACGACCTAACGGTAGCGGGATGCAGTAGGTGCTGCATGAATAAAAACGTGTGTTAAACCTTACTCTGTGCCGGATTGCTTCTGCATATGTATGTGTTTATCGAAGTATGTACGTGTATGCATAGAAACAAACATTGTAGCAGAGAGAGTTTCAACTGATATCAACAAGGTATCGTAAAGAATGCAAGAGCAACAGATTGCACGTCCGTCGCTGCCTCCATCACAATAAATTATTCCTATGCTTAGGCTATTTACATCTATGTTTAAAGATCCATGCTGTGAAGTTTATATTTTCTTTCCCATATCAGTTACCCACTTGTTTATGACCAACACAAACTTTCCACGCACTTTACCGGCCTCCACTTTACCTCTACATTCTAAGAAACTAGGATAACACAACTGCATACATATGCAGTTCTGTAATCCAAGTCCTGTTGATCAGTACATTGTTTTTGCCTAGCGGTATATTCCTATGCGCGTTGATTCACAATATATGAATCACTTTAGTCGTAAACTTTGTTAGCAAGAAAACGCATAACAGGACCTATCTAATATTTTAGCAAACACTTCTGCAGGTGAAGTAAAGCAACAATATATAAATGATCATATTTCATATTCTCTTGATAGTCGTTCCAAACAAATCTAACGGTACCTTCCTATACAAAGGCTCTGTGGTCCCGTCTCATTTTTTCCGGATACGGGTCCTACCTGCGATTTAACCATACACTTGATGCTCCTTTCATTTTTTTATAGGTAGACACCATCGATAATCTCTTTATAACGTCTCCCTATTAAAAATTCCCGTTTTAAGTGGCCATTTACTGTATTTTTTGTTTATACAAACGTCACTCAAATTATTACGAATGAAAGTAATATCATCATCATAATATTTTACATGACAAAATTAAATATGCAGATTTGGTAGTCTACGGAACCCAAAACTAACAAAGGAAAGTAAACCGTCGATGCGGTTTGTTCGATCGATGAAAGTAAAGGCTTGAGTAGACGGCCGAGCAGTCCCGTTAGCCGGCCCGAGCTCGGGCTCACGGAATACTAAACGCTGACATACTGCGCGGCTTTTGACCCTAGCCACATTCTAGTCTAGTACTTCAACACCTTCGTGCACCGATTCATCTAGGTACACATTACTGTGTACCGCTAAACTGCACCCAAAGGTTTGAAAAATTGATTGAACAAATTGTTAAATTTCATATCGTAAGTAAGTTGGTAAACCATAAAATAATATAATTAAGAACAACAACTAACCGTCAGTAAAGGGTACTGACGTTTAGCTGATGTTGGCAAAAAACTGTATTCTAGACGAACCTTGGAATAACCGTTCGTCAAAACATAAACATGTAAATAAAAAACTCTGCACTTTTAACAAACAATTGTTTTCAAACTGTGCCTGGTCCTTCCCGGACTTGCATTTTTTTAATGGCATGGACGCATTGTTGTTGTCATTCTATGTTTTGTCAAAAAACAAACTATTCACTTGCTAAAATCATGAAATGCAATTTGTGCAAATGGCATTTTTAGTGCGTTCAGTTATATAACTGACGTAATTGGCCATAAAACTCGGCGGTCGTTGTTTTTTTCCATACCTTACCAATCCTGGCGACCTCCATTATTATATTGAACAATCGTTCAAAAGGACCGACAAAAGAAATTGCAACACTATGCAAAAAGTGAAAATTACTCTTAAATCGTTTAAAAACTTTTTAAAGAATAGAGGTAATGGGGAGTGCGGCATGGGGGATTAGAAATTTAGCCAGACTTATCGGGACATTTAGTTACATGCTAGCTGTATGGATGGGGGTGTACGAGAGGACAACGACCCTACGCAAAATTCGCTGCATTGGGCTAGGTCTAGTGCATGCGCGTATGTAGCGGTATCAACGCGGAAGCGTGGTGAGCAGGAGCGAGCTATGCGCCGGCTCCGAGCCAGACAGGGAAAAACGCATGAATGAGTATTGAAGCCTACCCCAAGAAGGGGGAAATCGAGTTTGCACTGCGGGCACCAGCACTTGCACAGATATACACGAGCCCTATACATTATACTAAATAGGATCAATAGTGCTTTGCCATCAAAACTTAGCGCTACTACGGAAGCAACACTTTTAGGAAGGAATATTAAAAGAGGGTGACATCTTCACATTACCGACATGCATTTCTGTAGAACTATCTAAATTTAATATAAGTACAAGACATTTTATCATTTCGTACCTCATAAAATAGCGTGTCTATGTGTGATATTCATAACGGGTTCCAATGAGTCAACAGAACCAACATCGTGTATCAACTGTAGAATGTATTTTAACGTAGCCATAATAATCAACGCCACCATTCAGGATGCAAAGGATCGTTAGTCACATAACTTATAGTTATAGGAAACATTTTATGTTCTTGCTCTGTCCCCATGCATAAACACAGAATAATTTAAGATCAACATTACAATGAGTTTGCTCGTAGTTTTGTTTCATGAAAATCTAATTAGAGAAAACTTTTAAAGTTTTGTTTAAAACTTGTAAGAGAACTTACCACTTTTAAACGAAACTTTTAAAACCTTGAAATGGTCGAAGATCACTACTCAAGCAGAAGAAAAAAATGGTTATTTTACAGGAAACATCAAATTAAACATAATATACTTAAGACAATCCTAATTAAAGATGCAACCGAAGCACTTCCGTATAAGAAAGCTCCTACTTAGAAGCTTACGTAATAAAGCCGTTCAAGTTTCTATTACAAACCTAAAGAAAATTTGTGATGTGATGTCAACGACCGTGTGCCCAATACTCGTACAGAAAACGCATTTCCCGGCGCACACGAGCGCAGCGTGCGATTTATTCGCGCGGCGGGCGCGGCGCGCGGCGTCTCGCTCGCGCCCAGCGCCGCCGGCTGGCGCGGGCGGGGGTTCGCAGTGGGACGAGGCGGCCGCGGCCGTTCACCCCGGAAGATTCAGTGTTTTGATACCGCTCAAGCCTCCGCCGATGGAAAACTGCATTTTCTTTGATGCGCTTCGCTTTTCACGCTCTAATTGAACGACAATCGGATAATTTCGTTTTTTAAATGAATTGTTTGTCTCATGGGTTTCTATTAGACTCACATTAGTCGTAAAAGAAAGTTTATAAATAAAAAAAAGTCAATAATGAATAACATGTTACGCTTAGTACATGTGATTCTTTTGCATTATTTAATTTTAAGTGAAATATAAACACTATCTCCACACTTTTTTCTTTTGCTACAAAATGCTAGATTCAATATTAATTATTATTCATTAATTACCTCTACATTAATATCTAATAAATATAATCTTTTAAGTCCCTAGATAACCATGATAAAAAAATTACCATTTACATGTATGTCGTAATCAGGTCGTCACTCTGTAATTGTAACAAGTGCACTTAAACGTCACTACGCCTACGAGACTGAATAACACTTTGGGGTAGATCACGAATGTTCGGAAATTGCCAGACGTTATCGTAGGTCGCGGATGAAAAGGGCCCATATACCTCTATATCGTACAACTTATAGCCAAGGAAGGGGAGCGACCAAACACGAAAAAGGGGGCGATTCAGCTAAATGAACAGATTTGTAGCACTAAAATTAGCCAAATAATTTAATAATTAATCAAATAAGAATTTTGACCGCACCTGAATTTATCTACAGATAGAGTAAATATCTGACAATAATATCTACTAAATGTTACATAATTATGTTTTCATCAAGTCATAAATATATCATACGCACAATATCGTGTATGTTACAGAAAATCATAATTTAAAAACCATAACAAAATGTACAATGAGTACATCAGTACAACACTATTCATTCAAACTAATTGAAAAAGCTGTGTTTGAGCGGCGACAGTCAACCGCCTGCTCTTTTGTAGCGAGCCTCGGCAGTTTGCAGCTGTTCATAGATTACAGGCCGTAAATAGTGAAATCAATATTGGATAATGGTAGGTGGTAGGGTGCGGAGTGGTGGTGTCGGTGGAGAGTGAGATGCACCCTTACTACGATCGTCACACTCGCAAATTGTAAGGAAAAACACGCAAATCTCAAAGATAATTCATAACTTAAATGAGCTCTTATAAGTTTATCGGTACTTAAACTAAAAAAGCTATTTTAATACGAGTGTGTTCGAGAATCAAAGGTAAGGGTGCGTGTGCAGGCTGTGTCGACGACCCGTGAGAGTGAAAGCGTGTTCCGGGGAGGCGCGCAGGCCGCCGCCCGCCCTGCATGGCTTTCGCTGCCGTTCTCACGACACCCGCGACCACGTTGTTTTCAACTTGTATTAATTAGCGCTCTATGAGCTGTGATTACAAATTATCGTATCAATACATTTTATTCTAATGTTCATTGTTCATCAGTGCATACATAAAGTAAGCGTGTAAGTGACTTATTTACTGTTAAGTGTCTCTATTTGTAGTTAATTCGAGTGTAAATATGAAGTCATTTATGACTTATGAAATATTTTACGATAGAATAATTTGAGAATTTATTCTTTTTTTGAAACCTCTTTACTAGAATAATTTCTTGGTCAGATAGTATAAGTTTTTCCCGCGACAACACTTTTGAAGATCGTTGCTAGTGTTGGTGGGATCGAGAGCACGGTCACGGCGCGCGCCGCGGTCGCCACACTACGGAAGTAATGAACTTGAATGCAGTCCGCGGTCGCAATGCGCTGTGCCGTCCCGCTCTCCTCTAATAAGAGAATAGGAGGCGCGAACGTGACGTACTCACTGCATTTGCTGTCAAATTCGTCCGCATTCTCCGTCACAGGCCGCTTTCGTCGTCGATGCGTTTATCGGAACGAGACGCGAATATGTGTGTCGATTGCATTCTCGGCGTCGTAAAAGTGCATCTAGGTCGGTGGGCATAGCGGCGCGGCTGTGTCGGGTTAGTGGTCGGCGCTCGCCGGCTAGACGTGAGGCAGGTCGGCAGCACGGCGGGCTCCGTGTTGCATAATGCGCACCGCGCTCCGCCGGCGAGCACGGCGACAGCACGCCACCGCTGAGTGCGGCTCGCGCGGGCCCGCACCGCGGACATGAGAGCGGCTCGCCGGCTGCAGCCCCGGGTTCCTTTGCTGGCGCTGCGCATCTTGCTCGAATACCTCAAGTCGCTGCACCTCGCTCTAGCCTCCTAGGCACACCATCAGCACACTATTTATGCACCAAAGACGATAATACTCTTTGTTTATCCGCGGAAATACTAACATAAACGCGAAAAATATGAACAGTATCTCAAGAATTTCATGAACGATGAATATTTATGATTGTAAGTATTGCCATATTTTTATCAATTCCTACGAAAATTGTCGGTTGAATTTAAAAAGTTTCAGTGTTGTGCCGGGAACTAAAATGTTGACGCTTAATAAATTGGTAAATTAGGAAACAAAATATTTTAAACCTGAAAAAATATCCCAATGCATATTTTTAATTCAGTGTTTTCAAAAATGCACTTATTACCGGTCCTGATTTTTAGCTCATGTAACTAAGCGCAAAAACTAATTTAAAAAGTGTTATACATTGTGCAAAATTATTATTAATGCTATAATTCCGGGCAATTTATTATTTTCCTTCCACAAAAACCATTTAAAATTGAATATAAATCATTTTATAAAAACATTAAATAATACATAATATAATGTTATATTGTCGCTATCTAACCAATAGGTAGTCGCGTCTATTTGCAGTGGAAATATCTACGTATTTAATGTATTATTAGCCTGCAAGGTTAGTGTTCCCGTTGCACTCTCGCATGGCTATGTAACATGTGAACATTATGTGCACTCATCATCGCTATTTTACATCACTCTTATTACTGACACTTTTTCTTGCACGACCTTGCACTCTTGGCTTGCATAACAAACGTTTTCTTCTATAGAAATCGAAAACCATTGCGATCGTTAACCATATACCTACTAAAATAATTATTTGTATGAAGTCGGTTAATGCTTCCGCGTACGACACTTGGAATAGTTATTATCGCTGCATTTGAATCAGGAAGAGGAATATTGATAAAGGGACCTTGTAGAGTCCGAATAGATCAAAACAATTGATTCATCATATATCTTATTAATCACTGAATAATAACGTTCTGCGTCAACGCGCATCTCTGGCTGGTAGGGTTCCGAGTACTTTATTGTCATTTTATTTATTTATTCAAATAAATGTTCTCATTCATAAAATATAAAAGCTCTAGTCGTTTTCTCTATTGCTTGATAGTTTTGGTGATATATTATTAAGAAAGTGATATAATAATTATCGGTACATTTTACAAATTGTAAACGTTTTAAAAAATATATATTCTAGTAAAAAATAGTGGTTTTAAGTGAAATCATGTGATCATCATCATTGTGGTTAGTAAGATTCGGAGCGCGAGATTTTTTATCGTACTTTAAAGCGATTTTAAGAATCTCCTTGTGCGCTGTAACTAGGTATTATTCTTATAGTGTTTATTTTATATTATATCCTACAATTTTTATAATTTACAACAATAGTGAAGAATAAAAAAGCTAAAGTGTATATAATATTTAAATATTACGTGAAAGTTTATTTAACCTATTTGAACTTCGTACAAAAAAATTTTCAACAAAATAAATGAACGTAAAAGTTGATAGCCCTAACGTGGTCGCAACGTGCTAGCGTAAAGGGCAAGTTCAAGAGCGAGCGCATCATGCGCATGCTCAAGGTTGCTTCCTGGTGCGCGCGCGACGATGCGCGCCGCGGCTCGCGCTGTGCGCTACTGTGTGATAGCACTGCACTACTCTAGCTACTCATTAACTAGTACTTCATTATAATATAATATTAAACGAAGTACTTAATTCAGGTAGTTTTCCAACAAATATTATCTACAACTTTCACCGATCATTTTATGTGAGTGAAAAGCAAGTATGTAGTCGCGTTGTTTACGTAGAATAAAACCGAATGTTATAATAATATAGGTAATTAGGTATATCTATCAAGCAGCGTTATCATGAGAGTTACTAGTACCTAGCAAGTGGTTGGCGGGCGGGGTTGCGTGTGATGTGTGACATTGCGCGGACGCATTGCGCAACCTGCACTCACGGTCACGTGCCCCCCTCCCCTTCCTCTCACTTCTTCACACTATATCCCCACCATTACCGACGTTACTGTGTAAACATCAGCCCTTACGCAAGAATTACCTGCATGCATTATTTATACGATTCCCGCTTCACCATTCATATTTCAGTTTTATAAAGTAGGTATCTAATTTTGGTTTTATTTCACTTGGTTTACAGGTACTAACTTATCCCTTTGTAATGGTTATTTAATAAGTGTTGTTTCAGAATGTATTGGTTAATTCAAATGTTACAGTGGCGTATGTACATAAGTACAATAAATACTTAGCGATGCACCACATCGGTTACAAAACTCATGCATAAAACCATTACAAATGCAACGCATAATGTTTACGATACGGTGTTCGAGCCGGCGCTTGCGCAACAATTTGAATGTCAAATGGGGCCGGTTTGGAAAACAAAATTTTCGTTCTCATCGAGAGGAGTCGTCGGCCGCAAGCCGCCTCGCTTCCGCAATTATGCAATGAAATGTTGAACTTCAACGTTGCCTCATAGTCACTTCACCGATACGGGAATGCATTCTTTTACGAACCTGCCCATACTTAAAAAGCCATAGAACGTGTATTTACTTTTGTCGTTATTGCATAACTATTTCGAAAAACTTTAACGGTCGTGCTTTCTTTGCTATCAAACTTTTAGTACTTGTACTTGTAAGCGAGATTGTATGGGAAACAAGTTTGTAAATCATCAATGTTTATTAAGATTTACATTATTATTGATTTTATTCGAAATTCAATCCAGAGTTGTTTTAAACTTTATCGTTCGTAGAATCACCAAGAATTTCATTTTCGTAACCAATTCATAGTTCCGTATTCCACGTGTGTAGTGCCAACTTGGCAAATATTCAATGCATCCACCGTCAGGAGAGCAATACGCGATCGTTTTGGTATAACATCCAAAATTAAACTAATCTTTTATGTAGTTGTCATGACAAATTTAATACAATTAGGTCCATCATAAAAATATACGAGTACCACATGCAGAGGATTTAAATAAAAATAAATATTTAAGTATTACGTTTTTTTATCAAAAAATAAAGAAATTTGTAACGTCCTAGTATTCTATTTACTTTAATTTTAATACAATTATTATTTACTAGCAGAAGTAAGCAGAAATTGACAGGAGTTTTCAGAAATAGAAAGCTTTGTGTACATAGCGTAGTAAAATTCCACTGAAACAAAATTGCGATTATTACTAACTACAAATGTATTTTGTTCCAGGTACGAGTTACTTCAATACACAGAAAGTAATTATGACAATAGTAAATTAAAGGACCAAGACACATCTATCAAAATGAGACTGGTAAGTACATGCCAAAGTAAGCATTATGTAAATGCCAATTCAGACTGATAAATTTTGCGAGGAAATATCTAAGTATTCAATTGAAATTGTTGAAAATATAAATAGGCAAAGGGGAAGTGTTGGTGCGCAGTGGAAAGTGCGCACTTATCACAAAACTGGGTCAGTAGTGGCGCCGCCCCTTTATCGAACGTTGCTTTTCGCATTTCACTTAGAAAACTAAACTCTGTTAAGAAGAAAATAACACTCAAAGTTAAATGACACTATACAAAATGCACACGGCTGTAAAGAGGGAAAATGCATCACGTTACGATGTTGTTTGCATATTTTTGGGGCCTGAAAGTGATCGGGTAGCGGACAGATAGTGTTAAGTCTCCGTTTCAATCAAAACGTATCGGAGAAATATTTCTTCCGGCATTTGCAACTAATTTCAAAGTGGAAAACGTATTTAGATATTATTATTTAGTGAGACACTGTGTGACTTTATTGACTTGGGGTATTTGTCAACAGTCAACCAGCGAAGAAGTTCCGAGCACAACAGTGGTGGGCCGCACGGGTAGTCCTGGAGGCCCAGATGTAGTGAATGGAGTGTCCAGCGCGGGCGCATATGATGTAACACGCATGCGTGAGGAGGAGTTTGAAAGGCTCACAGTGTACATCGTGCCTGACGTGCCTTGTGAACGGGGCACGCCCAACCGCGCCGAGAGGACACTCCCGCGCAGTCTGGCCCTCAGACCATCTGCAGTATTATCCACTCCCAACACACCGGTACGTCAACATCTTTTACAGATACAACACTATCAACAAAACAACGAGGCCATCGAAAATGCTCTACATCACACTTGTACGATTTTACAGACTGAAGGTGTATGGAGTATAGGTGTAATACCGCGTGGAACACGTTTCGGGCCCTTTGAAGGCACCCGAACACCGAACAAACCTAATGACAAGGTCTCCTGGAGATATTATTGGAGGGTAAGTGTTACCGCCGTCCTATCATTATCAAATCATAAGAACCAATAATCGCAACCCGCTTTGCTTTTATTATTGTAATTTGGTTGAGGCTTGTATCTGTACATTCAACAGCACAACCCTTAGAATGCAGTTATTGACTCTCCTCAACTAAGCAAACTAGACTAATAATTTCTAGCGTAATTTTATACTTTATCTGTATACAAAGCACTATTATTTTCTTCTTCTATTAACCGAACTCTCTCTTTGGGCCAGGTACAGGAAACTGTGAGACATCATACTTATGGAAATATTAAGGTGAGATTGGGCTTTCAAATTCAATTTCAATGGTGATGGTCGTATAAATATATTTTCTGCAAATATGTACACATTATTTGTTTACAAATCATAGCCACATCATTATTATACAACATGTCATTAAGTTATACGGTGAGAAACTGAATCATATAGTATATTATCGCTTAATGTCACGCACAATCTAGGTAGAACAAATATTTGATTAAAATTTACAAGTAGAGTGCAATGTCGTAAAATAATCACAATGCATGTTGTTGATAGCCCCTGTTCACATCCCTAGATGAAGGCACAAGTACTTATAATTGTTCAAATGTAAATGATTGTTTAAGCGTGCGTTATCTTCCGCGTCCTATATTACCTCTCGAGTGACATTGCATCTCGTCCTTGACTCCACACTACTGAGTACTATAATGTAAGCGTGTCGCTATCAGTTGCACGCGCACTGTAAATATCCTGCACGTGCCACGTGCGCGAATAACATGTGTCTAACTCAATTATATAAGTTTGATTCCAAACATACATAATATCAGCAAGTAACAAACGATTGCATTAAACTTAATTGAGAAAAATCTTAGAACGTAATAGTATTGTTAGTCAATTACTACAAACATCAAGTAATTACTTCTACAAGAGTACTCAATGGAGTGGTTTGTGTAAACATAAATTACATTTAAATTCGTATTCTTACAAACCAGTCGTGTTGTAAAAATTATAAACTACTACTTTTATTTTTAATAGATTGGAAATTAACTATGTATAAATGTTCACTACAGAGTGCAATTGTTATAATTGATGTTAATTCATTGCAGATATTTAAGGACAGTGACTATTATTACCTGGACGGTTCCGACACCAGCGTAGCAAACTGGATGCGATATGTCGCGTCTGCGTACTCTCTCTCCGTGATGAACCTCGTGGCTTGTCAACATCAGGAACACATTTACTTTTACACAATCAGGTAACTTCACTTCACAATATCACTGTAAACACTCACATTCACTTTATTACTCTCGATTACTAATTTACGTATTTATCTTTGCAGAGACATCATGCCAAACGAAGAGCTCATGGTGTGGTATTGCAAAGATTTTGCAACAAGGTTGGGGTATGACATCGATCCTGAGAGGGCCACATATTCCATCTGTAAGTATTTCAATATTTTGATCACGATAGCCTAGAATAGTTAATGCAAAAATATATTTTAATCACTTTTTTATTTATAGGTAAAGAAGAAACTATTAAAAAAGCTTATGGCTTGCCACCAGCACCTGTGCATCCTGAAATAGCATTCAATCATATGAAATATGTTCTTGGATTAACAAATACCAAGGACTTGTTAGAAGCTGAAATCCCGACTCGACGGCGAAAGCGTGAAGCTACTGACAAACCTTTTCATGAAAATCCTACGCCTATACATCGGGAAGATCCGAGATGTATTAATAAAAATGACAGGGTGGTCCTGAGAGCAGACATTTCCACCAATATTATTCATAACAAAAGCGAAAACTCAATTGTTACAGAACAAAGATCATTATCACCAACTAGCTTAATGCCTTCGCCATCACCAGTCAAAATGCACAGGGAAAATCCTACTCTAATAATACATCAGCACAAGGAGAGTACATCCCAATTGGTTATACATCAACTTGAGAATCCAAGAATACAGAGTAACAGGTCTCCTGCCCAATGCCAAACGTTGAGGGACATGCGTGGGCCATCGCCAATGGCACAAAATGCCCAAGAAAAGTTAGGAAGCAAATCTCCTGTACTAACTCATTGTGTAGGGCCACACTATGAGCATCAACTGACCCCCAATGATGGATCTGTGCGATCAGATGAAGGATATCATAGCAACGGCTATCACGATGAATTCACTCCTCCTGAAGATTCAAGTGATTCCGATGTAGAAAATTATGTTCTTGACTGTTCCAATAAAACTAATGAACCCAAAGAAACAGTAATAGTCCAAAAAATGGATCAAGATATGCATCGTAACGAATATAGAAAAGTTAAAATAAAAATGCCCAGAGCATACCAGTACCAGAATCACAAAGACATGGACTGTGAAAGTGAAAAAGAATTAGTAATTGCTGAAGAAATTCCTAATACTCCACAAAATTTGTCACCACCAAGACGTGACCCTGCCACATCGACTGTTATAGTACTAGAATCGTCTCAAAATACAGTGGTGCCACTAACCAAGCCATACTATGAAGACGGCGCTATGTCACCATCTCCGCAACCGGCGTTCATGAGATATTCTCCACCTGATACAAGAATACTGGAAACAATATTGACTGGAAACAGGATCGATACAAATAACAATGATCCTAATCGCCGTCAACCAAATGCGACACCGCCACCTTCATCTCCTACTGAAATGGCTTATTCATATAAGAAAAGTCAAAGGTACGGCAATGCCTGCAGTCCGGACTCTAGCTCGAATTTGACTCCTCTGCCATCCCTGTTGCCACTGCCACAGCAGCTGCCTACACCCAGCGCCGCTTCACTATATTCGTCGTCACCACCGCACACTATCCCGCATACTACCGAAATCCGAGAAATTAGAGAAATAAGAGAAATTCGTGAGACACGGTATGAAAGTCACTATCCTAACTACACCTACAACTTATATTCTCCTCCTAATTCTACGATAATAACTCAACTAGGATCACCACCCAGCAATTACTCGCCGACAGTGACGTCATCTCACCAGTACGAGAGGTCACAGAATGTTCAAAGTAATCACCACTATCCATCATCGACCAGTGTGATTACACTAAAAAATTGTTCACAATTAAGTCTAATTCAAAACACAAATGTGAACAGTCAAATGGTTCCTCAACACGGCAGCGTCAGTCCTGACGGTTCATGTGGGCTCATGGGAGCACCAATGAGTCCTGGCTCACAATCTTCTCGAGGGTACAGAAGCCTACCTTATCCACTTAAGAAAAAGGACGGGAAAATGCACTACGAGTGCAACGTTTGCTGTAAGACGTTTGGACAACTTTCCAATTTGAAGGTTCACTTGAGAACGCATTCAGGCGAGCGACCGTTCAAATGCAATGTCTGTAGTAAATCGTTTACACAACTCGCACATCTACAGAAACATCACCTAGTACATACCGGAGAAAAGCCGCACCAGTGTGATATATGCAAGAAACGATTCTCCTCAACATCGAATTTAAAAACTCATCTGCGTCTACATTCAGGACAAAAACCATACGCGTGCGATTTGTGTATGCAGAAATTCACACAATTCGTACACTTAAAACTTCACAAGCGGCTACATACGAATGACAGGCCATACGTGTGCCAAGGCTGTGACAAGAAGTACATCAGTGCTTCCGGGCTACGCACGCACTGGAAGACCACTAGTTGTAAGCCGAACAACATCGAAGAAGTTTTAGCAATAACTAATGCAGCAAACACTGAATGCATTGGTAAGTAGTTTTGTCACTAATAAAGAAAATAATACTTTATCACTTCATGCACTTTTTCAAAAAGTCCTCAACTTAAACAATCTAAGAAATTTTATTAATTTAAAAACAAATGAAAGAGAATTAACGCGACCGCAGTCGCGAGAGCAACTGCAGCGCGCTGCACTTTCTCTTCGTAGGTGAACCGCAACTTTCACTTGCGCTCTCGCTGAACGCGACCGATTTCATTTTCGCGTGCACTTTGCAGGTAACGTCGACAAAGACTGCCACGAAAGAGAGGGGCACGAGGCATACGAGGTGCACTCTCCATCACAGGGCGGGCTGGTGGGAGCCGGTGGGGCGCGTGTGGCAATGTCGCACGAGGTGGTGCTGGGAGGGCAGGCGCACCAGGCGCACACTACCACGCCGCACCTGGTGACGCACTCGCCGCTGTCGCCGCACGCCTACCGTGCGCTGCCCGAGCACGAGCCGCAGTACGCGCCGCAGCCGGCCGAGCCGCGCGCCAGCGTCATCGAGTCCAGCCAGCCCCTCATCATCGAGTGCACCTGAGCCTTGTTGGCGCAGCACGCACTCGCCGGACGCGTGTTTCCCCGCCGCATTATGTGATTCCAGTCTTGTGATCTAACGAAAGTATTTCGTAAAAACATTCGGACGACTAGTTCGTCCCTTGCAGTGGCTATGAGATTACGATAATAAACTTTAAGTTGTACATTTGTAAGATTTATAACTTGTAAATGCGATGCGATATTATAAGTACTAAGTACTTGCGTAATGTTAGGCCCTTCGGGAAGTGTATCATATTAGGTTAAGGATTTAAATATTACATCCAAGAATTCTGCAGCCTCTGTTTATACTAATGCTCAATTTTATATATATTAGAATTCTATTGTAAATAGGATTTTGAGACATCGACTTATTTAATTTTTTACACGATAAAGATGTATGTACCTACTTCCACAAATAAATGCCTTCGTAACAGTGTTATCGAGATTGATGACTATCTCTAATTATTTGTTGTTCAATTATAAGTAGTATTAAACATCAGCAGTACACAATAGTGCTACTATAATAAATTTTCACCAAAGAATATCTGAACAGCAATGAAGTGCCGAGTGAATACAGTTTTGTGAAATTATTTGAATCAGTCCGAAACACTTTATAAAGCAACTGATTAACGGTAAGTGCCAAAAGCACGTTTATTTTTAAGTTAAAATTAAAGAGATGAGCGTATAGTATTTTTAAATTGTTGTTCCTAATGAATATTTGGAAAGTAAGCGCATGATATGTGCAGCAACGTAATTCTAATGTTATTTAGATTAAAATTGTCAAATTGTGTACATTATCCCTACGCTAGAACAAATGGTGCTTCACATCGTAGAGTAGTGGTTGCTCACATCGTACGCGCCGCACACGCATGCGCGCGGCGATGGACATGTACTACATTGTAATGTTAATTCACCGAGTCTACTAGTTACTATTTTATATTCCCAAGTAATTATGATTCTCCTATTCGAAAAGGCTGAAATAATTAAATGTAATGTAATGTTTGGCAAATATTAAACGTAAGTAAGAGTTGGTTTACATTACGTGTAACTTGTGCGGTCGTGGCTTGTAAGCAAACTTTGTGTGTAATATTAAATTCGCAGCTTATACGTGATGTAAAACCAAACGATAGCGTTTTGTATATTTCTATTGTTCGTACGAATAAGATTTTTACACGCAATCCTTAGTAGATTTATTAACTGTATATTTTATACTGTTTACAGGGCAAAAGAATTTGTACTTAAGCCTGCTGACGTGTATGGCTTATAATAATTATATCGAGTTCACGATCATGTTAAAATTTCGGCTGATTTCGACGTTGACGTTACTCATCGGATTGTTTAAAGTTACAATTCTTTTCTCGTGAAAACAATTATTTCTATATTAGTAATATTTAAGTCCAACACTTTTCTAACCACGTACATATTGCATCAATTATTAAAACTGTAATTATTTCTAATAGATACTTAAATTAAACTATGTTTCTGAATTAAAGTTAGATCGTTAAAAGAATTGTATAAATAAACTTTCTTTATGGACGATTATAATATGTGTATTATAATATATAGATGTTTGTATATTAATTGTAATTACTATTTTTGTTAAATCTTGTGATTCAATGGATCTGTGAAGTGTTTTCATCTTCCCTAATTTGAGCATGGTACCTTTAGAGATGTAAAATTACAGGGTTTTTTGTGTGTTCCTATCGAAGGTCACATACTTTATTAGTAAACGACTTAACTAATTACTTACACGGGAATCGCTTATATTAAAAACTTTGTTGTGAATTACGACTTTATCTACTTATATTTTTTTACAAAATAGTTTTCAAACGTCGAAATCATCTATGTATCGTTTGTATTCATCTCAAAATTTTAACACAAGTAGGAATATGTGTACTTTAACATATTATTGCCAATAAAGTATTGTTGAGTGACTTACACAGCTGGTTGGCTCCGTTATTACGTAACAGAATATATGACACTCAACTTCTCGCCATTCCTTAAGTTCAACACTTATACTACTTAACATTTAGTTAGATTTGATAGCATCTACTTTATTTTCTCTTTCCCGCTACACAGCTGTTAAAGCGCTCAACAGTAATTTATCTTTGAAATCTTCATTTGTTTTCATAAAATAGTTTTGTTTTACAACGGAAAAAAGTAGACTATAAACAGAGTCCAAATTTGTACGGAAATAAAATAGTAAATATCGCACAAATCTCGCACTTTGTTATAACAAAACTAAAGAATAAAGTAAAGTATGCTGAACAGTACGTAGGTACCATAAACCATGTTATTTTATTTATTTATTGGATATTTTCTACTTTAATTTTGTTTATTGTGAAAATTGTACTTAGGAACTAATTAAACTGTAAATAATTCCAATGAATTATAAAATAATGTGGTATATTTTTAAATAATTTACATTTAATGGTATATCAGTCACTATCAAGTTGATTATAACTACGTATATTTGAATATTGTATAAAATCGACACCTAAGAGAGATTGATGGTCATAATAAATAATGTAAGTACAATATGTTACTTGTGGTACAGCAAGGTAAGCAATATTATCACTGTATGTATTTAATACCTTTTGCTACTATTATGTATAAATATAATGTACCCGCATACACCTCGTAAGGAGTATAGGTAATATTGTAAACTACTTAATGCGCCAGAACTTACCTACATACTGTAAAGGCCTGTAATTTTGTACACCTTGATCGATAATAATTATTTTACAACACCAAATTCATTAAAACGGGAGTAAAAGTATAAATTGTGGTTTTATTACTGTTTCTTACCCCAATATTTGACTGCCTCGTTGGCCGTCTGGTCGCAAGTGCGACTGCCGGGCAAGGGGTCTCGGGTTCGATTCCCAGGTCGGGCAAAGGGTTTAAAAAAATGTCAGTAGTAGCACGGGGTCTGTAAATATGCCCGGTATATGGCAATAGGCTCACCCCTTATTACATGGGACTCATATCATAAATAGTGAAAAGTGAGTGTTACATTGTACAGTGGCATTAAGTGCCGAAATTTGCACCTCTGCCTACCCCTTCGGGGATAAAAAGGCGTGATGTTATGTATGTCTTACCCCAATACAAAACATCAAAACGTAGATAGTTATGTGTATAAGTAAGCGATACATCGCTTAAACGTTGGCTGTGGAAAGGCAGTGAAAATTCTCGAGTCAGTATTCGATTTTTTTTACTGAAAAGTCCCTCGACAACCCAAGTCCAACTGCAATACATTTATAGGTAAAACCTACTTAGTACAATAACATTAGATGTAATAACCCAGTAATACACTATCGTAAAATATGACGTGCATTTTCTAACACTCTCACTGATGAAGAAGGCACTTGCACTTTTTGCAATAAATGTAAAGAGTTACCGCATCCGATTTCGTTTTTATATTCAACGTTCAGTTACGATTCATACATCTGCTCTATCCACATACAAATAAATAAATACAATCAACTGATTTTCGGTGTAGCTAACAGTCTTTGTAATTGTCTGAAAGTATGTTAAAATATAGTCTCTACAAAGCTGCTACTGAAAAAGTTTCCATAGCTATATATTCGGATTAATAATTTAATACGATTCATTTTCACGTTTAGATTAATGGAATTCATATTTCTTTTTTTTTATTTATTTCTAAAATATGTAGTTATGATTTCAAGAAAAATATTGAATAAATCCTCAAATTCCTAATCCCCAAAAGGCCGGTAACGCAGTTGTAACACCACCAGGTGTTCCAGGTGTCTATTGGCGACGCCGATTGCTTACCATCAGATGATGCATCTGCTCGTTAACCGGCTTATTCCATAAAAAATATCTTTAGAACATTAAAAAAACAGGATTAGGGGAGTAAATAAAAATTAAACGTTAGGTAATCTGCATTGTATTTATTACAAGTATATCTAAACGCTAAGTTTCGATCAGTTAACTACAAAATAACAGTATGACTGAACTTTTAGTTCAGTATAGATTATAGGCAATCTTTAACTTGCTGATATTTAATTAAACTAGATATATTGTTTACCTACACAACGCCAGGAAAATCGAAAGTGGAACCTGTTTGTAGCGTGATAAAGTAAAATATTACTTAACATAAGGCAAGTTTTATAATTAAAAATATCATGAGTTTAGAATTTACAACAAAATTAATATATTAAATGATCTGCTCCCTTCAATAATTCTATTATTGATATTCATCAATAAGCGTGAATTAATAAGGGAAAAAGGCTGAAAATGACGATATTTAATAGACTATTAATAACTATTTATAGATAGTTATTTAAATAACGACAATAAAAAAGCCCTGGCAGTTTATTTTATTCTAGCAACACCAAGTTCAACCCTTAGGATACTAGATATATTTTCATCACAATATTGGCTTTGTAACATCAGCAACAGTTGACGGAGTATCACTGTCGGTCGTAGGCTCCGGTGCTCGACATTTCTTCAAATGTGTCCTCATGTTAGACGATTGCGTAAAGGCCAGCTTACAACGCGGACAAGAGTAAGGCTTCGATCCAGTGTGGAAGTTCAGATGGGATTTCAGATGATGCTTCTTTGTGAACGATTTTGGACACAGTGTACAGGAAAACGGCTTTACACCTAGAATAAATAAGAATAATTTTACATTACAGCTAGAAAAGTAATTAAATGTTATGGAGCAATCAATGACTTATTCATGTATTTCCATTTGTCCGTTTAGTGATTTTTATTAATTGGGACAAACCCGCCACAACCTCCCAAAACCGCTGCAACTCCTGTAAGCCAGGATCTACAATAGATACAACCATGAAAACACCTGAACACTGAAGGTTCGGAGCGTCCCAGGGACATGAATAATATCTAAAGAGTTATGTGACTAGCCAGTAAGTACCACTTATGACATAAATACCATAAATCATTGCAGTACATCATACAGTTTCCCTAATCAAGAATATAAGTAGCTGATAACGGTATCTATATAATTAATTTAATTTTAGTTTGATCGCTAAAGTCGAGCGCAAGGTCATTTCACTGGAACTAATTGATCACTGTCTCTGCGATAGAAGTCGAAATTCTTAGTTGTATAACATATTTGCTTATCTTTATTTATGGAGATACTGAATATTTTATAAACATTCTTGAGTATAAACAAAATATGCTCAATGAAAATGTTAATTATTTCCTGATTTTTTTTTTAAGGGGGGAATATCATCGAATGACTGCTCCCGCCTGGGTGAGGCGGAAGGGAGTGTCAGACTCTTACTGACTAAAAACCACCCTGTTCCTTCTCCTGCACGTCGAGCCGGAGCCCCGGTTACCCGTTAGGTTCTCCGCGACAATTATTTCCTGATTGGACACATATTTCAGTTTAGAATTAAAAAGTAAATAATTAAATGTTATTTTCAGTTTAATTTGCATAACCAATCCTGTGTGTTCAAATTCATTTACAAAAAAAATGGAACTTTCCTATTAATTAATCTGAATTCGCATTAGCTATTGCTCATACGATCTAAGAAAACTTACCTACAACTATAACACCGTAAACTTCTCAATAGTGCTTAATACTTAAACCTTTTCAATTTTCACTGGGCTACTCCCAACTAAGTAAGACCCAACAAGCTCCACAAATAATCATGTCACACAATTATCACCTCTCTCTTTGTTTAACTGACCTGTGTGTAATCTCAAGTGTAACGTCATGTTGGAGCGGTCTGCGAAGCGCTTGTCGCAGTGAGGGCAGGCGTACGGACGCTCACCGGAGTGCGTGCGCTGGTGCTGCTTCAGTAACATCTTCCGAGAGAACGCCTTGCCACATTCCTCGCAGACGTGGGGTTTTACACCTGGAAGGGTATAGTTAGATTATATTATGAATAACGTTCAGTATTTCAGTGCTACGAGAGAAATGTAATCAAAGTAGACAAGTAAATTTTTTGTTGTTTGACGTTCAAAAGTGCCATCCTGGTCTAATTGAAATAAATGATTTTGACTTTGACAAGTTCAATATCAGATTCTTTTATCGAATATAGTAAATGACCGAGCAAATAGATCACCTGAGTGATTAAAGATCAGCGCTGCCCATCAGGGCTTTGGACTTCAACTTGTAGTTTTAGAACGAAAAGCATGGTTTTCAGAATGGAGATGCATCACTGATTGCATATCAATTGGTCATTTTAAGTTTTAAATTTAAAAGTTTGGCCAAATTCTATTCCCTGTTTTTGCAAAGTATTTCAAAACTTGACTTACTTGCTGTCATCAATTTTGAAGAACCAATGCAAACATTTTTTACCATAATTGGCAACATAATGAAACTTTTTCCAGTCTTAATACGTAATAGGTAGATAAGCTTAAACTTACACTGATATCTAATTGTTTGACAAAAACGACCATCAGATCAACTAAAATGACAATCTTAACTCGAAACTACCGATCTGTTTGAGGGATCTAGAAACCGAGTACGTTTGAGAAAGTGCAAACTTAGCACCACGTAACTAATTTAATGTGTAGGTACTTGAGGTCGACACGGACGATGAACATCGTAAACAAATAAATATTCGAACATTAGTAATAGTCACGTTGTTCATCCCCTTATTAAGATATTCAATTAAGCATTTAAAGAGTTATGTTGTCTCTTGAATATACTCTCCGGTGTATATCATAATTAATTCCAAATCATCTTGCCTACATTCTTTTGAAACTTTCTAGTTTCAAATCATTTACGGGCCATTGATGACAAACGGGCACTGTAGCCTATATTAGCCTATAACGACTTGTAACACCAGACACATCATTGACCAAGGAAGAATTTAATTACACCTTTTTGAAGGACCCTCCCTTTGCTGCAAATTTGTGCAGAAAGCTACAGTACAGAGTTTATTCCACAACCATAATATTTCTTCTATCAATGGCACTAGTGTTCCTTATGTTGTTTAACTCGTCGAGTACCGTATTTATAGACACAATTAAAGAACAATAGGTTGCGGTCACCGGTGACCGCTTGGTGTTTGACAGTTTAAGAACCCTGTATTCATGAAACATGTCCTAGAATCTAGAAATAGACCTAACTTACCTGTATGAATTCTCACGTGCATATTGTACGCGACGCGCTGGTTGAAAGACTTGGGGCATAGTGTACACTTGTATTCTTTGCGGTTTCTGAAAACAAATGTAAAGTCGATTAACATGGATTCGATAAATAAAAAAATACTTGTACTTGAATCTCTCTAATCTTTTTTTGTCCCGATTCAAGTGCGAGTATAGTAACTAGTAAGTGCGTTGATACTTGATAATCATATAGGTACTGCTAGATAGGTACCGCTGTCTTGTTGGAGGAGTGATCGTAACCGTTGAACAACTGAACAAGAGGCATTAGGTTTGATTAGCAAACCGGGTGCGTTATTTTAGATTTTCGATAATTCTAAGACGGACTACACACTGATTCTTAATCGGCGCGTTGACACTGAAAATGTGCCCGGTTGAAGTGAGTATTACATTTTATATGTGCAAACTGTCTTTTCAGAGTTAATAAACGTCGCACTATAAAGATAATTGGTCTCTTACCGATGGATCTTCATATGGCTACTAAGATATCCTCTATCATTGAAGTACTTGCCACACACAGTACAGGTAGCCGCGAACTCCCTGGTACCTCTGTGTATAGACATGTGGTACTTGAAGTTGCGCAGCTGTGAGAACGTCTTCCCGCATTCTCCGCAGGAGTACCGAGCGTTTGTGGAGTGCCGGCGCATGTGCACTGCGAGGTAGTCGCTGCTTGTAAACACCTGGAAACATTGCAACAACCTACTGTAATGTATTTAAGTAAAAGACAAACATGTGATCCAACCTTTGTAACTTTATACTATAAAATTCCTGCTAATCTGTGGGCACTAAATTTACATGTAGAAGTTTAGAAAAAGGATGACCAAAGAAAAAATCGATTGGATGGGGCTGCAAGAGCAAGAAGAAGAGATCAAATGCTTGGTCTATGTGGTAAATACCGTTCTCAATTACGTAAAATCTATTCAGTAGCACGTCTACTATTTCTCCTAAGTGCTACACGTTCAAAATGATTTCTCTAAACATAGGCTTGGTCGGTCAAAATAACATAACATAAAGAACGGTCGTATTAACATTATTTTCTTTGCTGATTTCAAGTAGTGTGTTCCGATTTTAACGATAAGATATTTGCATACCTCTAACACGAATATACTTAGATACACTTCACAATAAGAGTATGGATGACACACAACTCTTTGTAGTATACTAATTTAATGTCTAAGTCTTAGTTGATTACTTAAAATTGTTCAAGAAAACTGCTTTCAGAATAATGGATATTTTAATAATTTATGTTCTTACGCAGAATTATTACAAGTTTGTTACGTGACTTCACATATATAACAAACAACATAAAATGACTATAAAATAATACCCAACACGTAAATGTAGTGTTTATACAAGCATCCCAACTTCAGGCACTTTGCTATCGACTGTGAAATAACAGCTTAGTGGTCGTAGCATTTCAACTGCGAATGCAAACGACTACATGAATATAAATGCATTTAGCGTAAAATATTTGCACTCAGCACGGAGAAAGCAAACCTAGTGTAAAAGAAATGTTATCGGTAAAACAACTGTTATTTTATTTACTTTTACTTATAATAAACTGCACAATAAAATCATCTGAATTCGAACTACGGACGCCGTTCCATACAGAAGAAATGAAACTACATCTATTTTCACAAAATTTGAAATTGAAGAACACCCTCTTCAACAGTCACTAAACCCATCATAATTAAGTAACTGTACCTAGTGAAATAAGGTTGTAGACAAGGCAATGGTTGTAAGACAACATACCTGATTACAAACTGTACACTTGAAGTCATCACTCCGTTGATTTGAGAGACTCGAAACAGTGGCCACTTTGCTCGCCTCATTGACAACTGCAGCTTCTTCAACTACATCTGTTGATGATGATATATTTGTTTTGGGAACATTGTTATTTCTATCATTAATAGTCCTAGCTTCTATTATCTGTAAAACAAAATAAATGTCTACATGAATAAGACGAACTTGATTGACTCGATGAGACACTAGTTCTTTATAGTTTACCTTTTCTTTAGAACATTGTGTTTGTACGGAAGGATCTGTTTTTCTTCGGAATGGTTTATAATTACTTGGTGTTCGAGGACTCCATGGACTCTCGAGTACATGATTTAAAATAGTAACTTTATTAGACGGAGTCATCTCTATGTATTTATTAGTTTCATCACTGTTCATAAAGTCTTTGTTTCTTTGCACTGGCTTCATCGGATCAAATAATGGCGGTGGAATTCTAAAATCCAGTGACGGGACATAGAACCCCGATAGAATTTGTTCCTGTATCCCAAACTGAAGCAAGGGGTTTGTTGGCATTGCAACATGATTCATTAATAAGTTCATTGGTGTAGTTTTTGTGTCGTTGCCAAAAACATGTGTCTTACTTTGGTTGGACGAACAAAGTCTTAGAGGAGGTTGCTCATACATTGTTTTCTTAGTTTCACCGTAATCTGGTTCATCTCGAGTGCATCGTTGCTGCTTACGAAGGTGAAATACTGTAGGCGAATGACTGATGTGCTCGTTCGCTTTTTTAAATGGATCTAAGAGCGAAGCGTCGCCGCTGAGATGTTTGCCATTTGCATTCGTCAAGAGCACAGATGCCGGAGCACGATAGCATTCATTTGATATTGCTAGCACGCCTGTCGTCAGACCGTTAACATTACCGTTTCGAGGATATGTCTCGATAAATAAATCACGTAGAAAAGAGTTCCTTTGTCGGTCTCCATAAGGCGATTTCAGATTTCCTAAAGAAGAGCTACGCTCTCCACTTGGATTCTGACTACGTACCAGTTTATCTTTGCAATCTGCATCGCTTGCTGAATACTGTAATACATCCTGGATTTCTTTACCTTTCTTTATATTAATATATTGTTGATCGCTACAGCCTTCGTATCCCAAAGTGAATACATTAGTTTTCTTTGAATCTGTCTCACAGGGGCCACTCAAATCAAATTGGTTATACTCGTCCGATAATTGCGGTAAATACTGATTGTCAACAAATATTTGCATTGCTTTTACAATGTCTAAGAACATTTCAATCTTTTCTTTTGGGACAACAACTTCGCCATTGTAAATGTAATATAGCACTGATGACATAGCTTCGAGGTCAAAATCTGGTAAGGCGATAAAAATCGGAGATTCATCTGTGGGACAAGAAAGGAGAAGACGCTGTAAGAAAACATTACTAATTAGTCGTTGAAAGATAGTACTAGTGTAGTACACTGAAGAATACATTCATGTATAAGAAGTCTTTACTTACTCTCAGAAAAGTGCTAACACTAGCGAGTACGGCGCGATGTGCACTGAATGCGCGCCCGCCGCACAGGAGTTTCACATCGCACCACTCACCGTGTGATAACCATTCACACATCTGAAATATAAATAGCAAGAGAAGCTGTCAGTGAGACTTCATTAACAGTCTAACTTAACTAATTAGATGCACAGTCAATTCTAATTTCCACCCTGGTAATAAATATAGCCTTTGGTCATGTAAATATTAAGTGTAACAAAAAATTCGTGTTGAAGTGTTGTTGAAGAGTAATTTAAACATTTACAATAGAACAATCTAAACGCACCCACACCACACTTGATAATAGTCTGTGAAAACACACCGTTACAAAATGGATTAGAGGAATAATTTTAAAATTTCTTTCACGCTATTCTCGAGTAATTTGGATGGGGCTTCAACTGTGATCCGGTGAGCACGGAACCAAACTCGGACGTCTGTAAACACGCTATGTTTGTGGCACACTTTTAATTCCTCGCCAATCGTACAAATAAGATGCCTATGCTCGGTATCTGTGCTGTACCAATGACATGCACGCCCGATGTCTCACATGCCAGTAAAGGCTAAATTAACCAAACACACCCGACCAGGTCAACGTTTTTAAAGTAGCACCACTCGTGAAAGTGTAGAGCAAATAGGTCTAATCAAACAAGAGGAAAATTGGAAGCATCATCTCAGTCTCACCAACCAATACACTTCCTACTACTTACATTTTCACAATGACAGTTATACTTAACCTAAAACGTAAGTTATTAAGTGTGCAATTGAATATTCAAATTACCGTGTAACATTCGGAGTCAAATGCCAGCCCATTAATCAGTAGTCTGTCCGCTCTTAATCACATTACGTTTGTATAATGTTACATGCATAAAAATTTGCTAAATGAGTTAACGCACATTAAGCGCAAGCACTAGATATGCGTATTCCAGTAGGTGTGAGTTTGAGCACTTGATTTATTGATTTGTCACATTGCTGCTGGATCAAGTCTGCGGTGAGGTGATAACATCTGTCGCGCTTTACTTCAAACACTAGACATGCATGAATCATGAGCTCCTTTCTTTATATTTCATTTACCGCAACGGGTTTAAGTATTCTTGAAAAAATAAACGCAAGCTTCTTCGTAGAATATGAAGACTAGAGTGCTTCTACGCTCTGTCCAAATAGCTACTAAAAATAGAAAGCTAGGGTCAGATTAGTTTCTAGTACATTACCAATTATCTACAGCATATTCCAGTAACCAGAATCCACATGCTATCGTTGCTGTCGTATTGTAACGTTAATTACCGATTTGCCGATATCAATTACCTCGTGAAGGTATTTTAAGATTAATATTAATAACCCGTGATCCGTGAAATATTGTAAGCCTCTTTCTTGTCCTACTTGTCATGAAGTGTATTGTTTACTTAACGGATACATCTTGCCAATATTTCAAGCTTATAATTTATACATTTCTATGTATACCTATCTAAACTTTACATTATATACCTATTCGCAATACCCAGACAAGTAAAAGTATTTATCATTCACTAAAGATAATCGTCTAGCTAGAGAAATGCAATTTGGTTGCATTACGTTTTAGCAAAATAGAATTGTAAAACTGCTGTTGTTTTTTTTGCATTTATTTTTGAAAGTAAACCTACTCCTTACTAAGTACGTATTCTTTACAAAAATGTTTTGCATCCAAATATATTTTCTAATAGTTGATGGTCAATCAATCTACTATGGGTGGATACCTACGTAATGTTTTAAATCATCTACTTAAATACTTAAAATTTAAACCTTTATTAAATATAGTTATATTTCATTTGTTACAGAATAAGAAAAAACTGCTCTTCATTCACTTTTATACTGAAAAAGTACCAAAGTAAAAAAGTTGACGCTCTACGTATCGCAAATATACTTTTACCGCTCGAAAAACGTTTAACATAGGTACCTACCTACACAGCCACAATCAGCTTCCTATTGGTATCTATATATTTTTCTAACGTGTCAAGTGGTTTTTTCATCCTTGTTAGGTACCAGCACTATAATTGACGTGCAAACACTTTATACTAAGAAGTAATTGAACTCAAAACGAAACATAGGTAGTTACAATGTTTTTCTAACATTCCAGCTATAGATTCCAGCTACAGTTCAATGTTCAATTTTAAATACCTATCTAATTTTATATATTCTATAGGTACTTGACAAATTAAACACCAAGAAAAGTTTTATACCGGAAAAGTGCACGGCCCCCGTTCTTCAAAACAGATAAAGTCGTTGATACAATTAGCAGCCAATTAACTATGTAGAAATGTATAATTTGGCTTTAACCACAATAGACGGTTGGATGATGAAGATGTACCTATGTTATAACTTCAATCACAGAAATTTCGGCAACAGCCACTTATCTATTTTTTATTGTAACTTTCGTGAGACATACTAAATGTCAAGCAACTTATCTCTTGACTCGTGCACCCTAATACCTAGGTATTTGTTAAATAAATAGGTATAATTTGCAGTATTCTTTACTACTGAAATAATTGATACGAACATTAATAAAGTAATGACAAATAATTATATCAAAGCGTACCTTACTTTCTTTCAGGTAATTTCAGTAGTTGTGAATTTTTTGTTCCGTACCGTAGGTACCTACTCTTTGTGCACTGATTACCTTACACATCCATTTTAAAAATAGGTAACGGTAATATTAAATCGATAAACAATTGAACTGGGCTATCTAAATAATAATAAACTATAGAAACATTTGTATATATTAGGTAGATCAATCTCCTTTTTCAAAGATCCCTAAATCATATGATTAAATTAAGGTATTGTCTAAATTCTTAATAAAGTACAGAAAAAAATTAAACCAAGTTATTATCAACTACTTATAATAAATTAACGAGCAGAAACAAAGTAGGTATCAGTAGAATAATTGTACTTACCGTGAACGTTTATAATTTCCAACATTTATTATGCACTTATTAAGTTCATGTTTTCGTAAAAAAAGCGCGGGAAATTCACTGAGAGGGGACCGAACTTATGTCTGCGCGTGAGTCCTCCACACTGACAGCGGTGTCCAACACGCATGCGCCGATGTGTGTTACCGCTGCCCATACACTACTGCCACTTTAATGGCGTGCGTTATTCCATACTTTGCATGTACCAACAAAACCCGTATATTGGACTTTCATCAAAAATATTCGATTACCTACTAACTAAATAATACTTAAATTTCTTGTTAGTCAATTTATCTAACAAGTATTTTTCAGTTTTATTTCAAACTTGTTATGCAAATTCGTGCAAATGTGCGGCGACACATGGAACAAACAGTTATGGGTATTAATCATACAGATTTAGTTGTTACTTTGTCATTATTTTATACTTAGGCGGTTATTAAGTGCACAAATATTTTTCTGACAAGAAATGTGGGTGTGGGGTATCAAAGAAAGTACATACGTCTACTATTTATTAGGCTCACGCACGTATTGTCGATATGAATGCAAGTTTTATTTTGTGTTCTAGAAACATTTTCGAGCTTCATTGTATATGTAACTTAATAATTAGTATCATATAATTACTATAATACCTACCTACTTAGCTCTACCTACTTTACTCTGATTCATTTTCATTTCATTTTTGGCACAACACAGTTCCAAATTATGTTCTTTAAAAGCAAAATATGACATGTAGGTAAGTACCTATACCTACTCATTTTCATGGCTTTTTTTTTGTTTTCTAAAAAGTTAAGAGTCTAGCAGATATTATTCTTGACCATGCAAATTGACTTGCACGCGGAGGCTAAACAACTTACTGGGCAACATAAGATCACACAAAGAGTTGCTCCGTGTGGGAATCGAACCCGCGACACGTTGCATGGCAGCCAGTTGCACTAACTGTGTTGTCAAATTCTGAGTCTGGATATGATGTGTCTTTGTTATTGAGTGTTTGAAAATATGAAAATGTGTTTGGAATCCGTGTAGATATCTAAATGGTAGACTGACGTTCTATTTTAGGGAATACGGCTTTTTGGCTTATTTATGAAGCTACGTAGTTAAGTACCAGCTTTGTAAAGCTGATAATGTTGTCATGTTCGGTTTCGGGAATAAAGTGGACCATTTATATGTAGGCAAGTACATGTGTCTAAAGTAAACACAGTGCAGAAGTTGTATAAGTAGGTACCTAATAAATTACAGTTTTTATTTTATTTTACACTTACATTATGAGAATGTAAGTACACGTTTAAATAATGCCTGAAAGTATGAGTATAACATTAACATGTTTAAATGAAAGTCACGAAAGCACGGCCATCTAATATCCTCGTTCTCTCGGTAAAAAAGAATAATAACAGTGCTAATTGCCGTTTTAAATGTGGTCCTTAATAGGCCGTTTCCAGTCACAGTGCTTCACGTTAACTTGTAATTGTAACTTTAGTGTGCAATTAAAGAATTAAATACCGTGGTAAGTTACATACTTATAAGTTCGTAGAATTATATTTTCGGCTGATTAAATGTACGTAGGTACGTACGTTTCTTCCTACATACAGAACGAGGAATGATATAATCTAAATTAGAAAGGCTATTTCGGTTGTGACCCGCGTGGCCTACCTGGCTTTTTCACGTTACTTGCGTGCCTACTTAAGAATAATTTTCTTGTATGTAATACCTAACTACCGCTATTGGCTCAATAAATGGTCGGACTACGGATAACTGGTAGTTGTTGCTAGTTCGGTACAGACAAGTTTGAACTCTCGGTTTCTTTTTTTGGGAGGGCACAACATTATTTTCTCAATTTTAAAAATTATTTTAATAGCACACAGAAACCGGGTCATCGGGCGCTAATCAAAAATCCATTGCGACATTAGGGTACTTTAATTTTTTTGCTTTTAGACGATTAGTGTCGGAAGGATAGCATGTTTCCTATCGCCACATAAAAACTGTAGCTTTTTATTAGATGTGGCGAAAATTAACAGACTGTATGTCTGATAGCTGATAGACTTTTTAATATATTTTTTTTTATTATGCCTCATAGCAGGCCCAGCGACGTTTATGGACACCCGCGACACCAGAGAACTTACAAATACGTAATATGGCTTTTGTGGAGAAGCGGGATCGGACTTCCGGTAAACTCACTCACACGACAAAACTCAACCAATGCGTTCACGGTTTTTGCTTAATGTCTCGTGTCGACTATCAGTCCATACCCATTTGTGTCGAAGCATGACTCTCCAATAAAGTATTGTTTCGAGCGGAATTAGAATCTATGATATACGCGTAGAGGCGGGTTCTCCAGTCACTACGCCGTAGTTACTTAGTTATACTAAAAAACAAAAACTATTTCGATCTGTTTGTTAACTATAAAAGGTATTGATATATTACTCATGACAAAAAAAAATTAACACAAAATAATCACAGTTTTATTAAATGTAAACCAAATAAAAAAATATACAAGTATAGTAGTATTATACTTCTATAACTCAATTTTGTTTAACAAGTTTCATCAAAAATATTGCAATCCATGTAATCAAGTGAATCACTATCTTTAATACAAGATACAAAATAATTACCATCTGTTGCATTAGGATCATATGTATTGCAAATACAGTAACATAGACTTTTGCCACAGCCCCTGCATTTTGTGGAATGCTTCAGAGTAATTTCATCAGCAAACTCACACTCAACAAATTCGTCTAAATTGTACTTAAAATCTAATTCACCATCAACTAAACTAATTAAGTGGTCATTTAAGAACTCATCAACACTTTCAAATGTACTTAAATGATTGAACACTAGTTTTTGTTGTTTAGTCAACACTTTTTCTAACATAAACACTAAATGATGATGGTAACACTGAAAAGTTATTTTGTCACTCTCTTTATCTTTCATGTCCTTCCACATTTTCACACAACTTAAAGGAGTCCTTGTTGCTCCACTGAAGAGTCCGGGGTTAGTGAGGATGCCACTGGCAGCCATTACTCCTCTACAGTTGACCTGTCTGTAGAGATCATCAGCATCATCCAACGTCTTGATACCACCATTGGCAACTATAGGTATTTGCACAGACTCAACCACATCACGCAAAGCCACTGTATCCACTTTATCACCACTTTTCTGAGTAGGTGTCCTCCCATGCACAGTCAAAAAGCTTACTCCACATTTCTCTAGCTTCTGGCACATGTCAATAGTGCGATTTAATTCTTTCAATATCCTTATCTTTACAGATACACTAAAGCTATTAGGCAGATTGTTTCTGATTCCTTTTACCAAGTCATGTATAAGTTCTGGTTTAGATAATAGAGCACAACCATAGCCATCTTTCATAGCCCATTTCTGTGGGCAACCACAATTCAAATCTACTCCATCTGAATATGCATAGACTAGTTTGGAAGCATCCACAAAATCATCACGATTATTGGCAGCAAACTGCACAATCAAAGGAGTATCGGTAACTGTTGTTGCAAACTCATTGTAACGAGCTTTAGAGTTCTGACAAAAAGAATCTGCTAATATCATAGGAGTGAAACACAAATCAACTCCGTAGCTGAAACAAACATTCTTATTATTTTTACATCGTAACATTGCATACCATTTACGAATAAGTATCCAATTAAATAAACACTTACTTTTTAACAAGTGTCCTGAATTGTACTTTACTATATCTGACCATTGGTGCGCAAACTTTTAAATAAGTATTATTAGTTTGAGCCTCGCTAAACAATTCCACTATATCAGTTTTATTCTTCATCGTAATGTATTGCAGCACAAAAGTTCAGGAATAAAGAACTATTCAAAAATAAATATTGAATTTCGAAATAAGCACAAGGATAACCTTAAAATTTGAACATTGACACTGTGTGATTGATTTGACAAATGTCACTCAAAGATGACATTACTGTGATCGTTTAAAAAAATTCAAGCCTCCTGCCTCAGGCGGAAGAACACGCCACGCTTAGCGACCACCATGACCACACGAACCACATAAATAATGAGTATGACTTACTGAAAATAATAAAACTCATACTGCATCATACATGACGCCTATTGAGTTATATTATTTAGATAAAATAAGGTGTGCTTACCGGATTTTCTTAAAATTTCGTTTTTATTTGAATATTTGATCTGACTGGTATAATAACACATTTTACTTGCACAATTAGTTTTAACCTTATTGGTTTTTGATTGTTTTATTTTAATGGGTGATCCTGTACAAGTAAATAGGTAAACAAAAGTAAGAAACAAAAACTTATCAAATATTTGGTCTTGTCAATGTCAACTTATCAAGCAAGATTGTCAATGTCAGAAAATCGTGATCGAGGATTGGGGATTCTGTAGCGGCGAACTCAAAAACTAAGAAAAACAATAAGAATAATGTAAAACAATGGATACAGTTGAAAAAGAAGAACGTCTTCACCGCATAAAAGTTAAGTAAAACAAAGTAATTCCACAAAATATACTTAACATAACCTTTCCTAATATTCAATGTTGATCTCTGTGTATCAAAAGTAGCCCGTGCATGCAATCAATAAAAACATTAAGTAAATACACCACTGGTTTAATTAATATTTTTATTGTATGTATAAACTTTAAAATATGTTCATAATTTAATAAATATTTCAATTTTTAGCTGGTGCATTTTTAGCTACAGTGGCTGGAATCTCAGCTTTCATTGGCTTCGGTGCTACTCTGGCCAAAGCAAGGAAAACTGATCCTAAATACTTCAGCAAGGGTAAAATATCTTTTATATTACTGCATATATAGATGATAATTATTATCAAACTTTTAATGTATGTGTTTTATTTTTCTAGGTTTACATGGCAGTGCAGAGCTAGCTGATGCAGGTGCTATCCTTGCCTTACGAGCTCTTGGATGGGGCACAGTTTATGCCATTGCAGGCACTTCATTTTTATGTTATGGCATTTGGAAGTTGTCTGGTGCAAAAGATGTAAGACTTACTACATAATTAAGTAACTAAACACAAAATGGGTAAATGTATGTAATTGTTGACAACTTTCATTTACAGTTGAAGGACTTCAGAGTGAAAATGGGTAACATGTTACCAGTTTTACCAAAGAACAATCCACCTACATCACGAACAGAGTTCACAGGTTTAAACGATATAATGACATATGTAGCAGAAGAATATGGGAAACCTAAGGAAAAATAATTTGTTATAGTCATAATTTTATTTTATTTACATAGAGTTTAATTTATTAAAATGTTCAAGTTGACAAATCTTGTTTTATAATGATTTCCTCCTTGTATGCTGGTCCTTCAGAACAGCTTGATTTGCAAGTGTATACTACAAGAACACCCCAGTCAATGCTGTTTATTTCTATTCCAACACCAATAAAGTTTAGGAGTTGTGGCATTATCTGTAACAAAAATAATTGAAATAGTGAACAATTAGAAAGCTGGCTTAAAATAAAAAAGCATTCAGGCTAAACTAATAAAATAATATTGTTATCAGTTCTACTTACTTGGAATTCAAAGTGTCTTTCCCCATTGCAGTACTGGCAGTTTGGAACATCGACAATACTGTTACCAGAATTCCCAGTAATCCATAGAGGATGACCTCCTCGATCATACCTCAATACTTGGTCTGGGTGCCTCGTACTCTTTTACTGAATTTGTTGAAGACTTTATCTTCAGGCATTGTCTTGGTGTACTGTTCCAGTTCATCTTCACTGACATTACTCAAAGTACCAGCTTTCTTCTCCTGCATTAACTTTTGCAACTTTGCCATTTCTTCATTTACATTCATCTTTTGGGTCCTCCTGACAAATAAAAAAAAAATAGTTAATAGAATAGAATAGAAAACTCTTTATTGTACACCATATAAAAAACACAAAGGACAAGCTATTCAGGATTATTATAATAATTGGGTACTTGCCAACTAGTCAAATTTAATACTTTTTTCAAACTGTGAAAAACGACAGTTTTCTTTAAATTTTTTATGTGATTGTGAATTGTGATGTCACATTTTTTTAGAGTCAAACAGCATACTTATTTCTTAAAACTATGCCAGAAATACTAAAATTAAGTTGTTAATATAATCATTTATTCAAAATGTGATTATTTTTTAATAATTTATTGTATTGAACAGTCGAAATTATTTATTTTTAATAAGGGAAAGTACCCAATTAATAATCAGAATATGGATATCTCAGCACTTACTCATCTTCTTCATCTACTATAAGTTCCCATTCTTTGAACAGAACTGACTTCCCAGACTCAGTGACTACAAAATTGTTAGGTTTGGCATCAGCAGTCTATAAAAATACAATATCATTATCATACAGAAATTAAAATTATTACTAACTACAAAAAGTCAATAGAATTCTAATGAGAAAAATCACCTGTAACTCAGGACAAATCTGCTTATGGCCTTTTTGCCAGTCTAAGATTTGATGTTTGCGACTGCAGTAATATGTTTTCTTACATTTAGAACAATGTGAAGGCCCTTTACAACCACACAGATTGCACAAATGAGGCCATTGATCCATCGGAAAGTCCTACAAAAAAGAGCAAGTACAAATAAAGCCTCAGATCTGAGTAACTTGCAAAAATAATTTGTACACAGTAACTAGCAATTAATTTATAGATTAAAATCATACTTCATTTTCTATTTCTTCATACGGTTCGAAAGAGTAAAAATCATTCTTCCTAGGAAGCTGGCATCGCAATACTTTGAAGTTATCTGAACTATTTATTTGACAACATGATCCATTTCTACATATGAACAAGAATATAGTCCTGTGAAAAGCTTCATCGGATTCTTCATACGGGGCATAAATCTGAAATTTGATAAATATAAATATTATAACCTGTTTGTGCTTACTCTTTGTACGTTATATCTAAATAACTTACAACTATCTAAATATCAATAAAAATATATTATTATACTGACCTGACATAGAAACACCAAAGGTTCGTTGCATTTTTTACAACTTAATTCACTAGGGCTCGGTAAATCCCGTAAGTTTAACCATGCTGGTTTCCCACCTACTTTACTTGGAAAATACTTCGGATGTAAAAGCCAACTACTCTTTTCCTCTAAGAAACCGATATCTATTTTATTATTGGAAGCCATGAGTAGGTATTAAAATAATAATTTGAGAAGATTAATGTACGTAAACAAATATTTCTACTCAATTTTATAAAAATAAACTTTACCACTTGCACCTCACTGACATTTGCATGACACTCATGACACTTGACAGTGACCGATAACGTTTTGGCCAGCACAGACTACAGCCCAGACACAGATAACCAATATCTTTAGTTAGTGTGAAGAAAACGAAACAATATTTTAAGAGCAGAATCTTACAGAGAGAACTCATGAAGAGTATCACTAAGCCATCGATTTCTTATAGGGTAAAACCATAGTTCCATCCAACCATTCCAGTTCCAATGATATACCACATAAGAATCACGAGGTTGACATTGTATTATTTTGTAAAAAGCGTAAACAAATATATTTCCACAACTACCTTATGCAGAGAAGGTAGTAGGCTACGTTTTTGCCTATTGAATGTGTGAACACAGTCCGATTACCAAGCAAGTTCGATCCTTGATTCTAGTGAATAGGTATTAATTACTTTTAGGCTTTTAGATTTGCCAGTGTACCTTGTCAATAGAGGGTGTATACTATTACTAGATTAGGTAAGCTACTATTAGATCATAAAGCAGGCAAAGAGAATATTATGTTCTTTGCCTGCTTCAGGGCTCGTACACAAAACTGCGATGCGATGCGAATTGCTGCGTAGCGATTTCGTGCGACAAGGCGTCTCCCAGGTTGCCCATTCCCAAAGAAGTACAGGGGAAACCATTCCTTAGAGGACCGTCAACCATACTAAACGTATTTTAAATTGAAAACTAGGTCGTGACATGGATCGTAAAAAGAAGTGTGCACTTCTGTAGTATCTCAAGCTTGAGATACAGGAAAAAGAATTGGGAAGATTTTGATGCGCAATGCGAATCAATTCGCAAGTTCTTGCGATGCGTAGAGGAAGCTCGTACATTTTTGCGATGCGACGTCGCATCGCAGTTTTGTGTACGAGCCGAGCCCTCAGTCGGTCCGGAATAGACAGTGAATAGATTAATTTGAAATTGGGGCCTAACCAGTAACCAACCACTGCACATTTCATCAAAACATTAGTATACACGAGTATTTTTCCCCGCAATACTTCTAAATTAATTGACAATACTGCAGGTAGAAAGTTTTACCCGTGATCGTGATTCTACCCCAGGACCCAAGCAATAAATAAAATATTACTGCCATGGTTGATAGATAAACAATAGGGATTAGGTAAAACTACCAATAAACATTGCAAGTTTTAATGAATTTCGTTTAATTTTTTCGTCTAAGAATTACTAAATAACGTTACTTAAATAAAAAAAATTACAAAACGAAAGATAAAGTCACATTTTATTTTCTTTCAGTTTTGTATTTCCTGAAGCTATTTTACATTTATTTTTACAATATAAAATATGTATATTAAGTATTAAATACATATTGTTAATAGTATTAATTACTAATATTTACAAGTCCATAAAACAACTATACATTTTATTAAATTAATAATAATTTAATAGACATGGTATATGGACAGGCAACAAGTTTCAACATTCATTCTTTTTAAATTTTTTACTTGTTTCATTCATCACATCATCAAGTTTATTTACCCTTCTCGACTTTAGGAATGAATGACTGTCACTTTCACCAATGTTTTGTCGAATACAGTTCAAATTGGATACATTTTGATTATGTACACTATGTTTTTTATCACCCAAACTTTTATTATTCTTATTAACTATTAATGTATTTTGAATGTCTTTAACCAAGTCACTTGTATGTAACTTAATAGGAATCAATATTTGATTTTCGCTATCACCTTTCTTGATGAACTCTTGTTTTATTTGGACCATAGACCTATTTTCTGCATCACTTGATAGTCTAATGGTCTTCCGCAAATGTATGGTGTCGGAAGAGTCCGCATAGTTCCGCTTCACTACTATGTCACCAGTCGGCATTTGTTTTACAAATGTGAGAGTTGGCGTTTCAGACTCCTTCCCTTCAGATTTTTGTGATTTGCTTGAATTGCCTTTATCGCCTTCCGAACCTTCTTCTTGTTCTTCAGTTTCAATCAATTTACCTAAAACAAAGAGTAGAATCAATGTATGACCTGATGGGAATCTTATTTATATTGTAAGTTAAAACTATATTTATACAAACCATTTAAAGTAGGGAATGTAATATCAGGCAAAGCCAAATGCGAGTCTGGATTATATTTGTGCATTAATGTTTTCAATAATATTGAGATCTCTTCACGTTTTCGTGTTACTACTATTTCATCAAACCAATTAGCTAGTTGTTTTATCGGCAATGTGTAGTCTAATATAGGGTCCTGAAAAGAAACAAAAATATTATTAGCAAAGTTATCAATATATTTGTTAAGACATTACTTCCATTCCTTCATTTTGCCAGTACATACCTTGAAAAACTGTTCAACATACTGTAACAAGTACAGACCACAATCTGTGAAGTTATTTTGTTGTGGTATTTTAGGACAACTTCCTTTGATGTTGTCCTTATTGAATATTTTATTTTGAGAGATCTGTAACATAGAATTCTGAGTCAGTTTCCATTAATTCTAAAATATTTCAACGAAAATGTTCTTGTTGCGAACTTATACTTACTTTAGCTTGATATTCACAAGTGAGATAATCTCTTAAAGTGGCTACGACTCTAGATCTAGATGCTCCGGCTAATGAATCGAATATAAGTATACATGGCCTGAAAAAACAAATAAAAATAAATTAGTATCTGCATCCTAAGTCTTAAATGTAGGCATGTTATTTATGAGATAGTCGATATATTTTTAGGTGTAAAACACACCTAATTATAGAATCTTTCCCATGTTGATTTACAGGTGTTTCCATTGCAGATCTGGGAATGAAAGAAAACCGGACTATAGCACCAGTATAAATTAGACCACTAACAGTTTAAATGACCATGTCTACATACGCTACACTTTTAAATTACTATTCATATAACTTACTGTTTGATGGGTTCTAATTTTCGACTTGGTTGAATTTCAATTTTCTTTTCCACAGCATTTTTATCAGTATTATCCTCCTCTTCCGAATCACACTGCATATCTAAATCACTTTCCTGAAATTTTAATTTTGTTAATAAACATTCAAATTCATTTAAACATTGTATGTCAACTTAATTTATTGTAATGACTAAAATAAAGCAAAACATACCTCTGCTTCAGCCTCATCTCGCTCACTAAGATTATCTGAGTCACAACTTAATGTAAGTTGTTCCTGCTTATTTAATGGTGTTATTGTTGTATTACCAATTTGCATAGATGATCTACGTTCTGAAATACAGAAAAATAATAATATTAATGCATCAAAATATATTCATTCTGAAAATAAGAATCTAATATGCACAGATTGGAATATAATTAGTTGATTGCATATTTTACCTTTTCTTTTTATCTCTGAGGGGTTACAAGTCGATTATCAATTGTACTCCGACAGCCATCTAAGCTTGGATAACAGATAATAGCGACAAACCAATGACAATTTTCATTAATAGGAACCACAATAAAATCTTTTTCAAAAATGTTGACATTCTTTGTCCATGTTTTGACTCTTGCATGTCGTTTTTGGGCTGGTGTTAGATTACTATCCCATTCGTGAGGATTTGAACTTCTGTTCACTTTACTTGGTTTAGTAGTTAGCCTTTTATAGAAAAATGTGCTAAAAATATGAGTCTTTTCTCTCTGAATGTTTGTTAAAACATCATGAACTAAGTGTTTCAAATAAAAATCAATAATAACATCATTAAGAAACTGGTCTTGGGCTAGGCACATGTAGTCTTCAGTGTTAATGGGTATACCACCTTTACCAGGTGGATAAATTAAAATTTGTCTTATTTCTGCAGGATTGGAACTGTAAACAAAAAAAGAAACATTCAATAATGTTAAAAGACTTACATAACTCAATCAGTTTCAAGTCACATTCATAATCCAGAAAGTGCGCCATTCAGAGCATTTTGTGTCGTAATTTAATATCTCTCATAAAGGGATAATACATTGTCCATATTTATAGATCATTGGTTTTAATTTATTTCTATGAAAATAATCATTATTTTAAAGTTACCCATACCTTTTAGCTCCAGAAGCAGTGGAAGCACTTCTCGTTGTCATTTTAGAAATATTATTGCTGTCTTTAGGGCAAGTCCTTACTAGTATATCATTGGCTTCACGACCATTCAGCTCATCCATTACTTTACCAAATAAAGTTTTTAATGTGATTTTAGCTTCATCTGTTATCATTTCTGGGAGTAATGTTATCCTTTTGAAGGGATCTATTTTTGACATTGGATTATAATAAGGACCTGCAATGACATTATGACAAATTAATAAGATAAACTAAAATACTGACGAAATTAAAGTTTTAACGTAAATTGATGTTTGTACATACCCGATTCCTCAGTCATATCCAAAGCTTTCTGATGTAGGTACCACATTTGCTCATAGTATATAAAAAAATCACAGGTAATCCTTTACCGAAATGAACTAATATCCGAACAACCTCTTTCAGTTGTATTTGTAGAGCCACATCCCGAGACTCATTCTTTAGGGAGGGAGCAACAATCTTTATACCTTTTGATGATATGTATACCTGTGAGATATTAAAAAATTGTTAGCAAATAATTGCACACAATCCAGACCGTTTTGTGGTTCTTGTAATAACAGGATTGTTGAGTGAGTTTCATAGTATTATTTTTAATTATTTTTTTGTTTTATTTGCAACACTAGAGTAGTATGGAATCGAATAGTATTTTGTTGTCAATAGGTTTATTATGATCAACAAAGTTTTTCATAATTTATTAATTATTTCTCACCTTTTCTTTGGGTGTATATCGGTATGATCCAATTCTGATGGTCCGACAATTAAGTGATGTCACATGAGTAGAACTCTGGTTGACTTCTTCTCTGCTGCCATCTGTCAAAAGAAAAGTTGTGTAATATACCTAAAGTTACTTAGATGACCACTAATTCATAGAAGTTC